ACACACACACACACACACACACACACACACACACACACACACACACACACACACACACTAATGCTTGCACAGAGATGTGATGTTTGACATGAACTCTGTATCGCTATGTAGCAAAAAAACAACTATGACACCTTGTTAAGGGCACATTTGTCTTGTATGTTGATGGTTTGGAGTTGTTTGTTTGTTTGTTTGTTTGTTTAAGTAAAAGATCCTCTGTTTTTGTCACAGTGTTGTCAGTCAGTCCTCCCAGTGAGGAATTCCAGAGTCTTCTCAAAGCTTTGCTCAACAAAAACCCAGTGAAGAGGTCAGGTTTGAAGACCCTCACACACTATCCTCTTTAAACTGTTTATTCTGTGGCCTGCAAGGGTGAGTGCTATAGTTAATGCATAGATGGACAGAAACAATACAACATCCATACTGTAAACTTTAAATTCTAGAGAGAAGATGGTTAAATTTCCACGATGTTTATATCTTTAGCTTAATACTGTAGCTAGTTTATTATGTTGCTCATTTAAAATGTAAAAGATTAAACATTTTATCAGTAAGCCAATTGTCTGTTTCAAAGACCTTGAAAACAATTACTCATGTTGCAGTTTTTCTCGATTTATTTATTTTTGTTATATAGGGTGGACTGGCCAGAGTTGCTGGAACATCCTTTTTGGATACCAGTACTGACGAAGGAAGATGATGTGGAAAAGGGAGACGAGGAGGCGGATGAAGAAGACGATGACTTTGTTGCCATTGCTGCGTCTTTGTGAGTAGTGAAGCACCGGAAAATCTTAGCTGCTGTTAGCAAAGTGATGTTGAAACCAAGTTTTATCTGTTTTAATCCAGTGGGAAAGTCCAAACATTCTGAAACACCCTTTAATGTGATGGAACAGAATTCAGAAGAACGAGAAACATCCTGCAGAATTACCATCAAGTTTAAACAGCTGCATTTATGTTTCCCTTCGATGAAATTGTTTTTTTTTCCATTACCTCCACAGACACGCATGGATTCCTGATCCTTTATGTCCAGCACACTTAGATCAGCGTCCCGACAGCCAGTCAGCCATCACTGGTCAGAAACTAATTTCATCACAGACAACTCCTGCAACCACTGACAGACAAGTTGTCCGACACACTTCCTATGGAGCCTTAAAGAACAGCCAGTGTTTGAACAGAAAGATGGGGAAGACGAGCCAAGAGGAGGGGCAGGCAAAGGCTCATGGTGACTCTGAGCTAGCTGGGTCCCAGCAGATATGCCACACACTGCAGCCCCATAAGTCATTCACACTAGGTAACACATCTGCTGATGTCTTTTGTTGGACATTATTTACGTGTGTGAAAAGAGTTGAGTGGACTTTATGTATGGACGCAACTTCTGCCATCATACCGCTGAGCGAGACTGATTCACAGTGGCAGCATTGAGAATGTGTAACTGTGCCCAGGCACGATCAGCAAATTCACTTGGGAAGGTTTTCATTTCTTTACCACCTCCTCTGTTTGAACTGTCTGTATGAACATGACTATAGTTATCAGGTTTTATAGACGAGACAATTTTGCTCGGTCCTATTGTTTCCCCCTCTATTGCAAATATTTGTATTATTCACTTTTTCTATAGTTTCTGTTGTTTCTGCAAATTCAGTTTCTGATTAAAATGTGTGCTCATTTCTCCTGTGAGGCTTTCACTAGGCATGTGTCATACAATAGTGTACTCAAGAAAATCTGCCTGTATTTTGTTTGCTGTCTCATCTAGATACTGTGTCCGAGTTGAGGCCGAAGAGTGGTGTGAATGAGGACGACACTGAGGCCGTTTTTCTGCTCAGGTATTAAGTTCAGTCTGTTTCCTGTCTGTCGACCTGATTTACCAGAGTGTTCCTAGGTCACAGGGTTACTTCTGTTTTGTCAGGGTTATGAGTTGTGCATGAACATACAAACTACAGTTGATGTGCTTCATATAAATATAATAATAATACAACTGCTAACCATGGACAGCTAGCAAAGTATTAACATTTTACTGTATTGTATTATTACACAGTATTTTAATAGTTTTATGATATGAAGTATTCCATTACCTTCTAGCTCCCGTGCCAACTCAAGAAGGAGCTGCAGTACCTCAGACTCTCTGATCCAGGACCCTGTACCTCAGGTGACTGCCACCATGTCATATAAACTATATATATATATATATATATATATATATATATATATATATATTGGGGTTAATCCCAGTCACATTATAGCAATTCTTTTTCTACTAAATCTGCTGGCATGCCTGGTAAATAATTCACTCATTTTCCTTTTCTTTGCTCCTGCTCTAAGGCCAGCACTGGCACTGACATCACATCTTGTGTGAAAAGTCTTCTCCATACTGACTCTGACCTGACTGTCACCCCAATCATGGACAATCCCAAGGTACATAGATGCAACATAATCTGACACAGTGTTGGTGATTTCAGGGTGTTTTCAGATACTTCAAATACATATTTTTGACCCAATCTTCAGTGGTAAGTGTCCTTCGGAGGAGTCGATCCTTCTGTTTCAGTTTTTATTATAAGCTTGTTAAAGTAAAACCTTCATTGTAAAAGTGACATTTTATACAGTGGTAACAATGATGTGTCCTGCTGAAAACAGGGAGTTTAATGTTTGTTCGTTTTTCACTTTAAGATTGCATAAAATGATTGTGACTTGAAAGGAAGGAAATGGGAATTTACAGTTCAGACTTCTGCTCTTTCTGTTTACCAGATTCTCAAGAGTCCTCCTGTGCGATTTGATCCTAAAACACTTTGTGTTCCAACATATTCAGGTACTTTTATTGTTTAATCATCCGCAAGTAGTTTTGTACAGAGTAAGAACAAAGGGTCTCCGTGTTTGGTTACTTGCCCCAGTGTATTAATGTTAAAGCTGACTTCTCCTCTACCCCAGTTGAGAAGCTGCAGTCTCTGAATGAGGAAGGCTGGACTGTGTTCCTCCTACAGCTTTGTTCCTCCCTTCAAGAACAGAATCCCTCCACTCCTCTGTCCTCCTCCTCCTCCACTGCTACTCCTCCACCTTCTTCCACAGCAGCTCGCTCCAAACTCAACCTGCTCTGTTACCTCTGCTGTGTGGCTGGACACAAAGTTATTGCTAACAGGCTGATTAACTCACCACTGGTATGTCAAATGTGTATTTAGTGAAGGTCACTGTAGAGATACTGTTGCATCACAGCTGGCTGAGATTTATTTTCAATTTATGGCAGTGTGGGAGTCCTTGCTCTTAGCTGAGTGAAACTAAGGCAACTTATGCTAATTTCCTCAGTTTGGATATAATATGAATAATAATAATATGATTTTTCACCTGTCAGGAAATGGCTTCATCAGGAAGATGTATCATGCAAGAGTTTCTTGCTCACAGCAAGTCATTAGTCAAGTGGGAGTCATTAGTGCAGAGACAAGGACATAGGGCCATAGAATTATTTAGTAACAAATCAAATGACTGCTCTTTCATCTGACTTTGAACATGAAATATGTGAGGACGTATATATTTTTCAAAATTAAGAATCTACTTTTAACAAGATATTCAAAAATAATTTTTGGAGTCCGACTGCTTTTTAAAGATGTGTCACGACTACTACTCCAACAGGATATAGTAGTTTTGTCTGTACAACCCATCAGCCTTAAAAAATATTTAAAAATTATATACAAATATTTTACCCAAGTTTTTTTCAGAGTTCTAATTTAAGCATTATCAAAAGCTCTAATACATCTAATATCCATGTTCTACTATCACTGATTTTTACAAATCGTTTCTTTTTCTATCTACCCTCTCCCTCATTTAGCTGTCAGTGTTGACCCAGCAATTACGACATGCTCTTAATTGGGATATGTAAGTATACTATGTTTCTATTCTCTCTATATACCAGGAAGCAAGATTTTGCACCTTTGCAGGAATGTTAGAGCAATTGTGAATGGAGATCAATGGTAAAATCACAAACTAAAATTCTCATTGATGGAGATGACCTGCAAGCTAATGAGGCTCAGACATCCAAAATACCAGTGAATTGAACTAGGGACCATCACTGAGAACCAAAAGACTTCTATTAACACTAAACTATATCATGGTCGATGATTGCTTCAACAAAGTGGGCTGTGCTTAAAGGTTTTAGACATGAACTGGAGACTGATATAATCTTATCAGTGATGTTTCTTTCCTTATATCGGGACTATTTTCTGTGTTAGACTTTAAATGGTGCATTGATTAGCAAACAAACTTTATTTAATGAAAATAAAAAATGTTTTCCAGGCGAAGCAAGGTTCTCAGAGTGATGGGTCTACTGGCTCTGCATTGTACCGAACTTGGAGAGGAGAGTCCTGTTTCTGAGGTCCGCAACACACACATGCAAGCACACATGCACTTACACTCTCTAACGGTTAGCAAGTGTGTGTGTCCTTAACATCCTTAACCCTTAAAAAGGGTTAACCCCCAAAAATCTTCTCTATCTTAGTATGTATTCTGATTGACGTACCCATCAGGATATAAAAAATAACCCACATGCTTTTCTTATCTGAATGAGAAATAAAAATTCCATATATTTTCAGTTAAACAGGGGAATTCCCAAACCTTTCCTAAATATTTTGAGAACTCAAATATGCACTACCAGTTTACACCATAGGGTGGCAGTACATACTAACAGGAACCCACCTTATGTACATTACAGACAGGATTTATGCATAAGAGCGTACAGAAAGCATAACATCAATCAGTGTAGTACTGCAAACAGTTTGTATAATTAATGCTTTATCTATATTAAGTCCTGGTTAATGTTGCTACGTCCATCTTTTTCTTGGTCATTTTAAGGATGTCATTTTTGTTTGGACATTGTTGCTGCTTTTGTTCGGAGGTATATCAATTATGATGAAAATCCATGAAGTGGAAATCTTCCCTAAAACAAGATCAGAAGGGGAAGACTTACCTCTCGTCCACTCTTACTTTTGTAGTACTAGTGTGTACCAGCAGGTGTCCTTAAAAACCCAAAAGAGGACATTCGCCTCAGACAGGAAGGCAAGTCAAAGACACAACATACACCAGTGTTAGAGTCGTATTGAAAGTGAACAATGAGGGGGTTGTTGTTTGTTAACTTTCCAGCAATGTGTTTCACACAGTAGGAAGCACTTGATTCTGGAGCACCTTGTCTGTGCTCAGCTGTGATGTGGAGCAGCAGACAGCGCTGAGAGTCAGAGTGGCTTGTGCTGGCCAAACTATGACAACATTTCTAAATGACCTTAAGCATATTTCTCTGCATCAAGTTGCGTAAAGAAAGTTTTTATATTGCCGGATAATATAGGCTGATACTGATATATAGGCCTGTATCTGTTGATCGGTCTCTAAATGCTCATAAGATTTCAGAAGGTGACTGTCATCTTGTTTTTTACTTGTAGTCATAACTACTTAAGTAGTTACAAGTCTTTAGTGTTTTGCTCATGTGTCTTAACTTTGAGATTATTTGCAGATATATGTATTTGTTATAGTTACACTAAGAAAGCAAGTGATGCAGCTGAACATGTACCTGTTTATAAGGTCAAGCTAGCTGAAACGAATCAATCTATAAATCCTGCAAATATTCGTTTTAAGATTACAATATTCAGAATTTGGTGAAGGTGTTTTGATTCTTGACTTTTGAGGATGTAGTTTGTGGTGTTTGTTTTTTTTGTCCACCCAACATTACATCAGTGAGGGTAAACTCAATAACAAACACTGGTCAGTATGATCATTGTAGGGCAATGAATTGAACTGCACTAGTTTTAGCTAGGTTTATCTTAAAAACTGAGTGTATATAGCTACACCACTGTTATACCGATAATCATAGTGAAGAAAGTACTTTAAGGATTTGCCTACATTTAGACAAGGATACAGAGACAATACAGATGCTTTACTGAGCCCCCCTCGATACACACACACACACACACACATTCAAACAGCTGAACTAATTTAATGTAAAAGCAGTTTAGTATGGAGGTGAGATCTTGAGACTCTCTCCTTTATTTGATCCTTTCATCCTGAACAAATCAAAACACCTTTTTCTGCTCCGTCTTTGTTTCTTTGTCATCTTGATCGCATCTTTTTATTCTGAATGAAATCCTTCTGGCTATATTAGTTTTGATCCCACATGCTCCCTTTCCTGGTTTGTCTTTTTCCTCTATCTTGTTCTGACACTTTACTGCTACTAAGTCGTCACGGCAATTTACAAAATGGCTGACTGTGGCATAGCAGTGTTTTTTCTGTGCGTCTGTTGTTAAAGACAAATGGCAGAACATTTTTTTTCCCCAGCTACCCTCCTTACTTCCCTGCAGCTCACATAGGATGACAAATTGTTGAGAGAAGGACAAAGCTGTGTGTGTGTGTGTGTG